TCTCCCCACTCCCCATCCCCTTCCTTTCTCTCCAGAATAAAAATAAATAAAATGAATTTCTATTGAGTAATTATTACATACAAAGTGAATTTTAATAAAAATTTTCATACATTATTCTAATCAACTTTGTGCTAATAGTAGTAATGATAACTCAAATCAGAAGGTATTTTTAATACTTAGAGCATTATAGTCACAAGAAAAATATTTTTAATATATATAATTGTAGCAAAGAATCTTGACAGATGCTCAATAAAAGATTTTCTAGCATAAAAATACATAATTTAGCATATAATACAGAGGGAGTAACAGAATAAACAAACAAGTTCAAAGGGAAAATAATTTAAGTTTCCAACCATTTAAGTTTTATTTTTAAATTAATAATGGCATTTAGATTTCCTTGGATAAATTGAAAATACTAATGTACTTTATTGAAATATTACAATATGACAGAAATTCTATCCTTTGTCACTTTTGCTGAAAAATTGTAGTTGTCATTTTAAACACGTGCAAAGGGATACACAATTTTTCCAAATTGCTTCAGGGGACATGGATAAAATCTCAACCCTGTCCTGGATGAACAAAGTTACAGTAAGGGTCATCTAGATAACTGAAGACTATTAGCAGAGTAGCAAACACATAACATTTAAATGTCAGCCCCCCTCAAAAGAATGACAAGCACAAGGGCATACATTTTTTTTTCTGGATTCCTAACTTGGTGCTAGAAATAGCATATAGTGGGTCTTAAGAATTGTTTATCACATGGGGGGGAAATAGATGAATGAAGTGAATGAATGGTGAACACTAAGTGTCAAAGTGTATTACTAGCCCTGGTTGGTGTGGCTCAGTGGACTGAGCATCGGCTTGCAAACCAAAAGGTCACTGGTTCAATTTCCGTTCAGGGCACATGCCTGGGCTATGAGCCAGGTCCCTGGTTGAGGGCGTGCGACAGGGTGTGTGTTTCTCTCAAACATCGATGTCTCTCTCCCTTTCTCCCTCCCTTCCCCCTCTCTAAATAAATAAAACAAAAAAGTACTAAAGGAAAGCATAACATAATTCAAAGTATATTATTTGATAATGGAAAATTATAAACTATAGGTTTCTACTAGAAATTAAATACACAAGAGAACTGAAACATAACCAGACACTAAGACTCTTAAGTTATTTAAGTCTTAGCAGAAAATCTTGATCTGTATTTTCAAAAGATACAATTTGTAACTAAGCAGTAATAAGAGTCTGCCAGAAGAAGGGGGCAAATTTGAAATCACATAGCCATCTTAGCTATTAATAAAATTTTACTTTAATAAGTTAGGATTCAAAGTCTTTAGTAAAGCCAAAATGTTATATAATCAAAACTTATTTCAAAAATACTAAATCTTCCATCAAACATTAAATTTCTTTTGTGAGTCAATGTTTTTCTAAGGCCCTCAGTAATTCTCTAATTTTCTCCTCAAAGGTATATAAAAGCCATCAACACCATATGCCTGAACTGTGTAGTTTTTACTTCTCACATCAATGAAAGTATTAGTCTTACACCTTCCTATTTGTTTTGCCAACAGGTATTGACTTATTAAGTGGTGACTGTATCTACTGCCTGTGCACAATTTTAAGTTAAATGGTGGGCTCAAATTGTGTCCTAGAATTAATTTCAATTAAATATACCTAGATGACTCACTGCAATGTTAATTTGATATGACACTTAAAGCATTAAATATTTTTACAGTTTTATTGAGGTACAGTAAGCATATAATAAACTACATATATTGAAGTATAGTTTTATAAAATGTGACATATATACAAATTTCCTTCTGAAAATTTGGGAGTGGTCCCCTTCTTCTGCCAAAAAGTTAAATAGGATTTTTATCACCTAAGAAAAGTACTTACCTTCATATAATTAACAATCTTAGCAAGAACACCAAACTTGTATCCAGAGCTTCCTGATAGCGCTTTCAAGTTAAATGATCCATTGCTATGATCTGAAAATAAAGTTCAAAAATAAAATGATAAATTTTCATATTAGGTATGATTAAGAGATTTAAGCAACTAAGATGATTTTTAACTCCAGTAAAGATTTTTCTTGTGTGAGCTTTTCTATCCAGTGAATTCTATCTTGTAAAATTTGGTGAAAAAATCAAAATCTTTACATGTATAATAAACTATTCATTGTCTCACTAAGGATGGGAACAAAGTATAAATAATTCAAAAGCATTAAAATACACTTCTTGCCCTGGCTGGTGTGGTTCAGTGGATTGAGTGCTGGCCTGTGAACCAAAAGGTCATCAGTTTGATTCCCAGTCAGGGCACAAGCCTGGGTTTCAGGCCAGGTCCCCAGTAGGGGGCCTGGAGAGAAAGCCGACTGATGTGTGATGTCTCTCACACGTTGCTGTTTCTCTCCCTTTTCTTCCTTCCTTCCCCTCTAACAGTAAATAAATAAAATCTTTTAAAAAATGTTTAAGTACATTTCTTTTCTAAGTACCTTTATCTCTGATATTTTCTATTATATCCCGTAATTCTGATATTTCCCCCATAATTGCAAGCAAGGCTTTTCAAACAAAAACAAAATATAAATCTCAATCTTAAAACCATGAGGAGTGAGTGGACTGCTTCTGAGGGGTTAACTTCCAATATCATTAATCACATCAATTTATGCTTATCAGGTTAAAAGAAATCAACATTAATTAAGAAAATAAAAAGAATATTATGAACTTTAGAGATAAATTGGGAATAAGAAATATAGGTGCTGCCACTGCATAAACATGGATGCTTAGAAAGAATTTGTAGCATGAAACCAGGGGCAATCTGTACAAAGGATTATTGGTTTCAGAACATCTATCATTTTGCTGCATTCTTACAGGCACAAATCCTAATGCTACCCTACAAAGATGCATTCCATGAGTGACAGGCAAGTACTGGTAAAAAATTTCAAGATAAATACTAGGAAAACATTCCAGAAGTATCATACATATTCATTAGCAAGGCATCAGATCAGAAATTATAAAGTTCCCATGTGGCTGATACACGAGAAGAGGTTAAATAAAAAGGGGGAGAAGTCAACATCTGGCACCAGCTTAGTAACAATAATTTAAGCAAAATAATGCATTAGAGCCACCACAAGTCAAATGTAACAACTGTCAGAGATCCAAAAGAACAGCTTCTAGATGGCAATACCCCTTTGAGATCAGTTAGTGAAAAGGCTTTATTGAATATGTTTTGAGACTAAAATGAGACTTCATATGCAATTTTCCTCTAAAAACAACTGTTACAATTTTGGTTAACTTACTTGACACATTAAAGTCTACTTTACTGGTTCCCAAAATAATATTTACAATGCCTTTATCGGTGTACTTTCACACTCAATTTTCGATCATGAAATACTATCTATCTACATGGTTCATTTTTAAAGACATTCGGGACCCTTATAACAGTAATAGTAACTAATCTTTATTGAACACTTACTATTTGCCAAGAGCCATGACAAATGATTCTCATTTAATTCCTCCCAGAAATCCTATTTAGGAGATATTATACTCTACTTTTAAAGAAGGAAACTGAGTAGTAAGTGACAGAGTATAGATTCAAATCCAGTTGTAAACCCTGTGATAATGTCTTGTATAAGAATCATTGACCAGCCTTTAACACAGGTTATGCCATCTGAAACTGGCCATTTTTTCAGAGTATAGGTATTCATAAATGCACAGCTAATGTTTTCTTGTTTAACTTTAGTAAAGTAGTATTAAGTTTATGCTGTATAAATAACTGGGAGGACTAAAAAACAAATGACATATACATTAAGAAAAAGCACCAAATGGTCAATCACAATCCACATACAGTTTTGTTTACCATGGGGTCTCTAACATTTAACTCAAGACCAGGCACAGTAAACACTCAATAAATATTTGTTTAATGAATGAAAGGGAAGAGAGAGGGAGGGAGGAAGAAAGGGAATAAACAGGAATGAGAATGAACAATATTTCTATGTACCTTTCATGGCCCCAGAAACTAATGTGCTGATTTATCTATAATTAAAACCAGTCTATACAGCAAGCATTTACACAGGCTACTATTGTTATAATAGCTACTCCCATAATTAAAAATCTTGATCCTGTTATGCTTAGACCACAACTTTAAATAATGCACCATAAGTAAAAACATTCTATTTTAAAATTCCAACTGAGGATTCTTTTGCCATTTAAATTTCACAAAATGCTGCCCTGGCCAGTGTGGCTCACTTGGTCGGAGAGCTGTCCTGTAAACCGAAAGGTCACAGGTTCGATTTCCCATCAGGGCACATACTTAGGTAGTAGGTTCAGTCCCTGATTGGAACGTGTACCAGAGGCGATCGATCAATGTTTTTCCTTCTCTCTCTCCATCCCTTCCCCTCTAAAATCAATAAGCATGTCCTTGGGTGAGGATAAATTAATTACACAGAGAGGTGGTGTGCTTACCCTCTCCCAACTAGTAAAGCCGAAAACCTTATTTCTCTCTTTTCCCTCAGAATTTCTCCTATATCAAACCATCACGTGGAAATAATCACTTCCAGAGGCCAAGTGTTATGTAAAACACAGTACTGAAAGAAAAGTAGAGAAAAGAAAGTATCATAAAATTGTAGGTACACTTCCTGGCAGAAATACAAAGCTGGTAAACCTGGACTGTTTATGCCCTCTCTCAACATGATCTTCTTCTAGCCCTAGCAATGAAATATTCACTGAAGGATCTGAAATCTTATAGCTAAACACCAAGGAAACATCAATTTGTGGCTAACTCACATATCCTATGCAGGAATTTAGCTGAAGGACAAAAAGTAAGGCAAGAAAAAGGGGTGACAGTTGATATCCCAGACAGCTCTATTCAAGTTTATGAATGATTTACTCTTAAGGGTGGCAGGACTTGATGCAAATGAGTGCAGAGGAAACTGTCAGCTGCACTGTGGTCCAACCAATAGAAGCTCAGCTCCATCTTGGCTATGCACTAGACTGCATTACAATCAGACGATACCATCGCTTCAACAGCAGCCTTTCAGACAAGAGGTAGGTTTATATGTTTTTCATTTAGTAATACATGTCTTTATGATACAATATAAAAATATTTTACCATAAAAATCAAGCAGAAAGCTTTGTTTCTACTAAAAACCAATAAAAGCAATGTATTCACTTAATTGCTTGGCAGGATTTTATTATGAAAATATGAAGACTGCCTGTGCTATTTGATAAGCACCCTTACCATCTGTGCCTTAATGGAAAATTCATGACATTGTCTTTAACCGGATCTATATCCAGACTGTAGAGTAAACCATAAGCGTTTGATTTTAAGTGGTTACTTGCTAATTTCATTTTCTCCAAGCTATTTCATTTGAGCAGTTTGGTCTGTCTTAAACAAAGGATTTTTCTTAAAGAAAAATCCAGACTAAAAGCAAATCCTGTACTAAAGCTTTCTGATTATATACGTACAAATTGTATTGACTGGTAAAAAGCAGTTTCTTATAAGAAAGTTTGTTGTATTTTAACAAATGCCAGAAAATAGTTCAAAATTGTTTTTTATTTGATTTTGAGTATAGATTCAGAGAATGTTCAGAAATGATCATAATTGTGATTTTTATATAAAAATAAAATTATAAAGGTACTGTAATGTAGGCTGCATTATACTGTAACAAAAAACATCATTTCTAGAGCTTCAGACTTTTCTAATACTTTAATTAAAATAATTTCTTACAGTAAAATCTTAAAGTCTGTATTACTATAATATACAAGTCATGCTATTATTAAATGAAAACCTTTTTGAAATAGCCCTTCATTTTTGTATATGCCACAAAATATATAATCACAGTAATTTCTATGTTATTCTTCAATTGATCCTCAAAGTAAATACATATTAAGTTTTTTTGATAAACTACATTTAAAAATAAAAATATGCACTAAGAATTGGTTAAGGGAGGCCAGTACAGTACCTTTCAAGGTAGTAAGATTACTTTCACTGCCCAAATTAACCATTCACATCTACTAAAAATTAGAAGCCAGTGCTGACCAAATTTCGAATTTTCTATTATTCAAGCATAAAAATATCATTATTTAGTAGATGCTAGAGTTCCAAAATACTACCTATACATACTGCCCTAAAGATCCAACTTCTACCCTTTTCTTTGCTGACAAATCTATTTAAATTTTAAAGAACTTCGTTTCATAATTTTTATTTCTCCTATTTCTTAACCAGCATACTAAGTTAATATGAGCAAAGTGTGCCTTACAAAGACCAAAGGTTGCTGTAAGAAGATATCAGATCTCCCCAGGTTCAGCACAAAGGGATCAGTTACCTAGAAAACATTCCTGTTTGCCATACAAAGTATGGGAGCCCAAAAAGACTCTCCAATAAAAATAAAAACAACTTTGTCAAATAAAACAGTTAACTTGTAACTCAAATTTCAGACAAATTGTAAACTTAAACCCCTACCTTGTTTTAAAACCATAATCTGCCTACATTTTACTGGTAATACATCTATACTTAACACAGATGGAGGCTAATCACTGTTTCACTCAACTGACTAGACGCATGGCCTAGCTCAGAGTTCCAGGGCTGAGTGCACTGCTCTATATTTAAAGGCCATTGCGATTAATTGATCATATTTCAAAGTGATATGTATAAAGGCATTAGAAAATTCAATTCAAGAGCTTTTACCATAAATACATCAAAAGCATAATTTTATTCTTATCTGGCAACTCAAGGTTCCAAAACAGTTCCAAGTCTTATTCCCATAAATATTTCACTAGGACCTTTTGAAATGGGAGGAAAATAGGTGAACGGACTATTTCAAAAGTGACAAACTAAAAAAATTATACAGTGTTTACCTTAACACTTTCCATTCCTGTAATGAAATTTTAAGTTAAAATTTGGGGGTGGCCAGGGGGAATACAAGAAAGTACAGACCTTTATTTTGTTTTTTTTATCATTTTCTCTCACTTTTCATAGGGCATGTTTACAGCATTTGCTTGATATAAATTTACATGTTGGCTTCAAAAATATAGTCTCAGAACACAAAATAATCATAATGGTATATACCTTTTTGCATGTCTACTTATGTCTAATCCATCAAAGTGAATTTTAGATTTTACCCTAAATTTAACACAAAAAATTACTAGAGCTCTACTGTACTTTGAAAAAATAAACCACATTAAATGTAAGGTGAAAAATCATTTTATATTATAAGGGTTTACTATTTTCAGATATGCCCAAAAGCAACCTAGAGAGATGTTATGAGTTGTTTGTCAGTTATCAATACATTCGCAAGAGGCAAACTGTCATCATTTATAACATAAACCTGATATGTACATATACTCTTTCTTAAACTTCTTAGATGCTTCTGGCAAACCTCACAAATGCACTGGAAGATGGCATACACAGCTATCCACTGTCATTACTGTAAGCATTATTATAACATATTTGTGTGTGGATAAAGTACATAGTCAAATGAAAATGACAGTGTTTGATAATCCTAATTTTAATTTTTTAGAATCCAGAAAACTCAATAAATGTATAAAATAGGTGTATAACAATAAACTTTGAAAAGCTAAAGACAAGAAATATTTTAAAAATACATTAGGTTGGGTCTTGAATAAGTAGTATATTCACACACATACCGGTCTCTCGAATCTACTCTCCATCCAACCCCACAAGTAATCAGCTATTAATTTCTTGTATATCCAATATTTTTACGCAGATAAAAGCAAATAAAAATATTATTCCCCCTCCTTCCTACACAAACTGCCCTGCACCTTGCTATTTTCACTGAACATATCCTAAAAATCTTTCCATATCACCACAATTACCTCATTCATATATAATATTCAATGATGTGGATATTCTATATTAATTTTAACCAGATGACTCATTCATTGATGATGGGTACAAGTTAACTTTAAATAATTAAATTTAGTTGTGTGTCTGTCTGCTTGCCCCCTACATTCTCCCCTCCCCTTCCACTCTTCCTCTATTATTTTTAGAGGCAAGAAGGCCTGAAAATATTTTAAGCAATTCAATTATACTTCAAAAATAAACAGAAAAAGTTCCTTAAATGACCTTTCTAATCATTTTTAAATTTCATTTTGAAATAATAACTGACATTAGTTTTTACAACTTCACGCCAGTTTTAAAGTCAATACAAATAAAAAAGGCCTACTCATAATGAACTAAAATGCAAAGTAATAACTTCAGTATAATTTCAACCTGGTAGGAGTTATAGACTTACATGCCAATTCCTAGGAAAAAGTTAAAAGCTGCATATGTTAGGGAGACAGAATTTCAGGCAAAGCTTTTAATTTTTGTTTAAAATTGCTATGATGTTTCTGAAATCAATGGTAAACTAACACTTTAAATTAACAAAGCTAATTAATAAGGTAGTTAAACTAATTTGAGGGGCATGATATGGAAACTGTTCCATTCTACTCTTTCCTCCTTCCCTAGCACTGTTTCCCCTGTCGTCACTTCTACTGCCAGATGTAGAAGAGAAGCCCTCAAAAAAAAAAAAAAAAAAAAAAATTCCAGATTTTAAAAAGAAATCAATCCGAAATACTGTAACCAAAAGTCTAAGGAATATTTTCACCAATGCTAGAGAGGTCCTCGGTTAGCCCAAGTGAAGTGAGTAGACAGATGCTCATGCGGTCCTTTCTGCTCTTTACCCATCCACATTCAGTGGCACTGTGCCCTCTTTCCCCCAGGTCCCACTCTTCTTCCTCTCCCTGTCCTCTGTTAGCTCTGCTTTTCAAAAAGGACCTGAAACTTACTCACAATGAAGTAAAAAATAACTAGCAATCTATGTCATCTCTCTCAGGAGTATATGTATTTTAGAAGTGCTTACAATCTTAAAGGTGCCCTGGATTGTGTGGCTCAGTGGACTGAGTGCCAGCCTACAAACTGAAGGGTCGCCGATTCGATTCCCAGTCAGGGCGCATGCCTGGGTTGCGGGCCAGGTCGGCAGTATGGGGTGCGTGAGAGGCAACCACACACTGGTATTTCTCTCCCTCTCTTTCCCCTTCCCTTCCCCTCTCTCTAAAAATAAATAAAATCTTTAAAAAAAAATAGAAGTTCTGAAGCTGAACTTGGGAGGGGGGTATGCATAACTGTATGCATGCAAATGACACTGCTAGTAAGGCTGAGTCAAAAAGGACTTTTGTCTCCAATCGAGTCCATTCCTATGAGTTACTTGACTATCTGTGTGCATGGTGATCAGAATGAGAATGAGAGGCAGCAACAATGCAGAGGTTAGACAGGTAGCCTATCAGGACATCCACATCACATGACTATGTGAATGGCACCCGCAACACGATGTGAATGGTGCTCCTTGGAGATGTACAACTTAGCAGCCTTGCTTTTTAAAAGAACATGCTCAGAAGAGAAAAATTCAAATAAAAAAGGGTAAGTTTCAAGGGCTGGGTCTCCAGACATAGTTTGAAAATTAATGTAATATAACACATGCCTGTTTTATAGACAATGTATCTTTGTATATCCCAGAAATAACAGAAGCAATTCATTCAATTACTGTCCATTATTCTGCTATGTCTCATCTCAAGATGAACGGTCACCAAGCACCAAGAAACTGAAAATTCTTAAATCCAAAAAGAAAACATGAATTTAAGCCTTTACTTCTGGCCTCAGATCACCAATTTAACCTTTAAAATACATGAAAGAAAAAAGGAAGGGACCAAGTCTATCCAAAGAGCTGAAGTGATTTGCCAAGCAAATATGATTTAAAAAAAAAACAAAACCCTTAAAAAATATCAATTTATCAACCTCAAAGTTTTAAAATTTTATCTATAAAGAAAAAGAAATCTGAAGGAAGTATAGTGTTATGGCTTTGATTTTTAGGTCAGTTTTTAATTTTTAATGTGAAAACAATATTGTGGTTACATTTAAAAACAGAGTCCTCACCTTTTAAGATATATTGAATATTTCTAGAGGAAATAATATACTATCTGGGATTTGCTTCAAAATAATCAGAGCAGCACTGGGTAGAGCTGTAGACTGGCCCAGAGTTGATAAACTTTCATTACACTCCTCTACTTCTGTACTACCTTGAAGTCTTCTTTAGATAAAACATACTCTCACAGACAAGTTATCTCCAGCACTTAGAAAAGTATTTGGTACACAGTAGGCTATCAATAAACATTTGTTTACAAGAATAAATTTAAAACAATTTACAACTACGTAGAGGAGAAAAGCATGCAAAGTCAGTCATTTCTCTCATTTAAAAAGCATACAAACTGACAAAAGTTGCTGGATTAAAGAAGTGGGATATATTTTCTCTTATTTCCAAAATTTTCTTTACTATGTAATTTTCTAATTTTTAAAATTAAGCTTAAAAAGATATGTTTGAAAGATTAAAGATAATAAAAATTCATTTATTATCTTTAATCTTTACAGTCCCATTTAAGGTCTAACAAGTAATCAGGTCAAGAAGCACAAAAGTTAAATACTGAAACTTTAACTCACTGGCTAATTTTGTGAAATGGAGTAATAATTTTAAAAATAATAACTTTGGGGCAGTGACTTTGCCTGATTTGTAAAATATTCACATCTACAGGTCATTTAGGTGTATGAATCATTTAGACTATCATATACATAACCAAAAAGAAATCCTAAGATTATGGTCTCTTCATAGGCAACTTAATTTGACTTTTCTTTCTCTACTTTTTTTCTCTCAGCCACTACTCCTTGATCCAGGTCCCTGAACTCAAAGTTTAAAGGAGTGGAAATAGGAGCCAAAAATACACTGAACCAAGAAGGTGAGAGGATCCATGAGGGCATTTTGAAGAATGTGACCTTAAAAGGCCAAGATTGTTGCAGACAATACCTCAATGACCACTGCTGTTGTCAAATTTTAAACCAATTCAGCTGTTTTTTCCCCCTCCATGAGCAGTTAGTTTCTGTGTAAGAATCTTAAACAGATGCATTTGTCTAACAAATGATATACACAAAAATATATAGTACGGTTTAACAGAGTACGTTGGTAGAGATACAGAAAAAATTAATATCATTAATGTGTTCTTAAATTAAAAATTAATAATATTCAGTCACTAATTTTGGCAGAAAATAAGACTCAAATTGGTAACAAATCTTAGCACTGAGATTTGAACTGACAAAATCTATAGATTGGTTACACATATTCACTTTCTACCTTTTTATAGAGTCAAAAGAGCGATACAAGAAGTGAATTCTCTGAAAATGGCCTCCCTGAGCTCCAGCCTCTGGAATGAAACCACTACATCCGTTTATCAGTACTTGGGTTTTCAAGTTCAAAAAATTTACCCTTTCCATGATAACTGGAACACTGCCTGCTTTGTCATTCTACTTTTATTTATATTTACAGTGGTGTCTTTAGTGGTGCTGGCTTTCCTTTATGAAGTGCTTGACTGCTGCTGCTGTGTAAAAAACAAAACTGTGAAAGATTTGAAAAATGAACCTAATCCTCTTAGAAGTATGATGGACAACATCAGAAAACGTGAAACTGAAGTGGTCTAGCGCTCTGCATGAGATGAACAAAACCTTTCAAGACTGCCTTCAATTTTTGAGAAAAAAAAAATTTCTGAGGCCAACTGTTATGACTGACTTCGAATGATTAAAAGATTTCTACTAGAAGGGAAAAACAAGTTAAATATGTACTTTTTGTGTTTGTATCCCTTTCATTAAATATACAGTAAAACTTCACAAATGTGAATAATTTACCAATCTCTTTAAAATGACACTTCAAAAACTAGATAGCAGATTCCTAGAATTCAGACCCGGCCAGCGGGGCTCAGCTGGTTGGAGCACCATCCTGTAACCGAAAGGCTGTGGATTCGATTCCCAGTCACGGTGGATGCCCGAATTGCAGGTTTGATCCCCATCCCAGGCACGTACGAGAGGCAACCAATCAATGTCTCTCTCACTCCTTCTTCCTTCCTCCCTCTCTAAAAACAAACAAAGAAACAAACAAAACAAAACAAAACCAGTCCTCTGGTGAGGATGAAAAAAAATTTTTAAAAAGGATTCCTATACTTCAATATTAAGCAGCAAGAGGTAAACTGGAAAACATAGGCAGGGTAATGATGCCAAATAACATACCTAAACAAATCACATGGACTAAAAAATAGAGTTACACTATATCTACATGTGTTTGGGTAATAAAAATGCTATTTAAAATGCTTCTCTAAATCCAAAGCAAAATACTTCCATTTTAATATTAAGTCCCTACTTATTAAAAAGCCGTATTTTCTAGTTTATTGAAGACAACTTACACATTTTTAAAGACTTAAGTTTTATGTAGGATTACTGTGAAAAGTCTCAAACATTCAGAAAGGTCACAAGTACAATGAAGTTTTCATTAAATGGACTAATTGTTGAAGTACATGGTGTTCAAACTAGTACACACCCTAAATTACATTTCTTGAGCTTGTGCTTTCATTTTGCTTCCACATTCACACTCTCAAAGGCTAAGATACTTCATATAGAAGAGACTGCCAAAAAAAAAAAAAAAAAAAAAAAAAGGTCAAAAAGATAAGACCACTTAACACCTGTGAAGAAATATGGCAGTTTTCTTTCTTGGAATTCCAAGGGCTGTACAAGATATTACACTTTATAACCCTAATACTATTTTGCCATCATGAGCAAACCAAAGCATGCTCTTAACCACTACACTACAACTGCCCTTAGGACAGAAACATTACACCCGAAAATTTATTGAGACATTAGTTCAAAAGAAGAAAAAAGCTCAAGATACAAAGATGTTTATAATACCATTACTAAAAATAAAAATTTGGAAACAACAGCTTAAAATGTGACACATCAACTTAACAGAAAAGAAGCTAATGAAAATTGACAAGACAGAAAATTTGATATGTGAAAAGTAAATGTTATTCTTAATTTAAAGAACCCTGACTGCCAGTCTGAAATAGCTTTTCACAAAATATTTATTTTTCACATTTTTTTCTAGCATTAGAAACAAGCACGAGTAACATAACCAACTTTCAAAGGACTCACAAAACTGAGGTATTCAAAATACTTTGGTAACCAGGAACTGTTCTTGAGCACCGTTAAAACCACATCTTCATAGATGGTAAACTTGGGGGTCCTTGCCAATAGATGGAAAGCCTACAGGTCTTTGAGAGCTAGATTATTTGATAATGTACACTGCCAACTTCTCCCAACCGTACCCTTAACTTTTTTAGAAGCACTAAAAATACGCAGGGAGTGCTTCTATGTGTGAAGGATTAGGCTACAACAGCAAACAAGTAATCATGCAATTAAAATGGTACAGAGTAGGGGAGAGGGGGAAAAAAATGGTACAGAGTAGCTTTGTCAGAAATAGTAAGCACTATCTTTTGGCATCTCTGGGCTACAATGGAAGAAAAGTTGTCTGCAGCCACACATTAAATATATTGCAACATGTAATCACAAAAAAACCTCATAATGTTTTAAGTAAATTTACCATTTTGTGTTGGGCCACATTCATAGCCATCCTGGGCTAAGCACTCAATTAAAATTGAAAAGTGGAAATAACATGACTTTTAAGCTGAAACCTAGGAGAACAGAGTTAGCCAAAGAAAAGAGGGAAGTAAGAAAGAATGTTCCAGGAAGAGGAAATACTTTGAGCAAAGGCAAGGGAGTAAAGCATGTTAGAGGAGCTACAAGTCAGTATCACTAGACAACAGGGCAAGGAAACAGGTGGAAGGAGGTATAAAAGAAGTGCAGACTAGATCAGGTAGGGCATATAAGTTATAGAAGAAAGAGATGGACTTGATCTGAAAAGCAATGAGATGTTATCAGGTTTATGAATAGAAAAATCACTGACTGCTGTACAGAGAATGGAAGCTAAACCAGGAGCCCTGGTAAGCAGCTAATGGTGCAATCCAATGACAGTGAACCAAACTAGTGTCATATAGCAGTCTTCAGGATTTATACCCAATATACATGCAGCTCTCCTCTTTCTGAGCACATGGACCCACTTGTGGCTCGGTACAGCCTTATGGCCAGTAAGTCATGAGAAGAAGTGATGTGTGTGTCACCTCTAGACCAGAGCATTTAACTACCAGGCAAGATCTTCCAGATTTCTCTTTCCCTCTAGCACTAAAACCAACATTTGAAAAGTCACAACTCTATAGGTCTGGGTCCTTGAGTGTCTATAATAAGCTTAGACCTCTGCCAACACATGATAAACATGTGGTATGAAAGAGAAAAAAACCTTTGTTGTTTTAAGGCACTGAGGTTGTGGAGCACATAGACTAGGTCTTAAAGTGGTTCCCTGCCGATGTTTAAAACAGTTCCTAAAATTCTGTTTCCTATAAATGAATTCAAAGTAAGTTTCATTGGAATAAGAGATGATCAAACCTAAGGTATGTGTTAATAAGAGCGATAGGCCTACTCTGATAAAAGGATTAGCTAACATCATACAGAATGGGGAAAGACTGAATGCTCTTCCAGAGAGATCAGAAACAAGGAGATGTCCGCTCTCACTACTTCTATTCAATATTATACTTGCCAGTCTAGACAAGAAAAAAACCAAAAGGCATTCATATGAGAAAGAATGAAATAAAACTGTCTTTATTCACTGATGACATAATCTGGTATGTACTGGGTTAGCCAAAAAGTTCGTTTAGATTTTTCTTTAAAATAAAAGACACATATTTCATTTTCACCAATGACTATTGATTGGGATATTTTGAGTATGTAGGCTATCTCCTGCTATTGGCTTCTAGTGGGTAGAGGCCAGGGGTGCTACTAAACATCTTCCAATGCATAAAACAGCCCCACGGCAAAGGATCACTTGGCCAAAATGTCAACAGTACCAAGCAACTTTGCAAACCACATTTGACACGCTTGATCAGTAACAGCAGCTTCTCCATACACTGCACAAATCATTTTTTGCATTTCAGTTGCATTTTTACCTTTCTTGCAATAATAAAGTATAATATGCCGAAAATGTTGCATTTCTTCTATCTTCAAAATTAAAATCGCTGCACAAAAATTCACCAATTTGGATGTTTTTTCAAATGCATGCTGATATGACAGCTGTCACAATACAATCTAACTAAATTGTCTTGAATGAAGTTAAGGACAACTAGGCACCATTAGAGTCACTGTATGGAAAATAATAACCAAATTTTAGGCCAACCCAACAGAAAATCCTAAGGAATCCACACAAAAACTGACAATAATGAACAAGTTCCACAGAGTTGCAAAATACAACATCAAAAGACAAGAATCTTTATTTCCATAAACCAGCAATGAATATTTCAAAAATCAAGAAAAAAATTCATTCACAACAAGTATCAAAAATAAAATACCTAGGAATAAATTTAACAAAGTAAATGTACGATTTACACTTTAAAAACCTAAATAAAAGGAAGGATAGTTGTGCTCATCAACTACAAGAATTAATATTGTTTAGATGGCAATTCCCCCGAAACTGATGTATAGAGTCAATGCAATACCTATCAAAATCACAGCCGGCTCTTTTACTGATGTGAATTGATTCTAAAATGTACATGGATTTTCAAACAGAACAAAACTGAAAGACTTAAACTTCCTAATTTCAAAACTTTACTACAATGCTACAGTTATCAAAACAATGTGGAACTGTCATAAGAATGGGCATATGAGTCAACAGGACCACACTGAGATACCAGAAATAAACTCATTTATAGTCAACTGCAAGTCAGTGGGGAAGAGGGTCATTCCAAGAAATGGTACAGGGACAACTGAATAGCCACACACAAAAAGATGAATTTATTAGAACCTTTGTTAAACCAAAAAAATCAACTCAAAACATCATAAACCTAATGTAAGAGTTACAACTACAAACTCTTAGGAAAAAACATAGTAAATTCTCATGACCTTGGGTTAGACAAAGATTTCTTAGATAAGACACTAAAAGCACAGTGATACTGGATCAAGAAATTGTATCCAGGACATGTAAAGAACTCTTACAAATCAATAGGAAAAAGACAACCCAGTATGTTTTAAGTGGGCAAAAAATGTGAACAGACATTTTACCCAAGACATGAATGGTCAATAAGCACATGAAATGACATCCAACATCATTAATCATTAGCAAACTACATATTAAAACCAAAATACTATTTCACATCCACTATAATGACTATGATCAGAAAGACAGGAATAAGAAGTCTTGGCAAGAATAAGTAAAATATGGAACCCTCACACACTGATGAGAATATAAAATGCTGGACATTTTGGCAGTTTCTCAAAAAGTTAAACATAAATTTACCATATAATCCAGAAAGTCTACTCTTAGATATCTCTACAAAAGGAAAAAGAAAAAAGATGTCCACACAAAGACTTTTACATCAATGTTCACAGTAGCACCATTCATAATAGACAAAAAGTGGAAGGAATACAAATATCTATTAACTGGTGAATGGATAAATAAATTGTGGTATAGCCATACAACGGAATACTCTTCAGCAATAAAATGGAATGAAGTACTGATACATGCAACAGTGCGAATGAATCCTGGACAGTATATAGCAAACTGAATCCCACAACAAATAAAAAGGATTATATACTATGACCAAGTAGGATTTATTCCAAGAATGCGAAGTTGGTTTACTATC